TGGTGAGAGATATAGATGCCGCTTCATTCTTCTGCAGGTGTTTATCCAATTTTCCTAGCACCATTTACTGAAGAGGGCTTCTTCTACCCAGGGCATATTGTTTTCTGCTTTGTCAAAGATCAGTTGGCTGTATGTGGATAGTCTTATATCTGGGTTCTCTGTTCTGTTCTATTGGTCTATGCCTCTGTTTTTGTGCTAATACCATGCTGTTTTGGCTACCATAGCCTTGTAATATAATTTGAAGTCTGGTAATATATACCTCCAGGTGTGTTCCTTTTGCTTAAGATTGCTTTGGCTATTCAGGCTCTTTTCTCGTTCCAAACAAAGAGTAAAATTATTTTTTCTAGATCTGTGGAATATGACATTGGTATTTTGATGGGGATTGCCTTGAATCTGTAAGTCACTTTGGGTAGTGTGGACATTTTAACAATGTTGATTCTACGTATCCATGAGCATGATATGTTTTTTTCCATTAGTTTGTATCAACTGTGATTTCTTTCCTCACTGTTTCATGGTTCTCTTTGTAGAGATCTTTCACTTTCTTGGTTAACTTTATTCCTAGGTATTTTATATGCTTTGTAGTTATTTTGAATGGCGTTGAGTCTGATTTGACTCTCAGCTTCACTTATTGGTATATAGAAATGCTACTGATTTGTGTACTTTGATTTTGCAAACTGATACTTTGTTAAATTTATTTATCAATTTCAAGAGTCCTATGGCAAAGTGTTTTGGGTTTTCTAGATAAAGAGATCATATCATTAGCAAAAAGGAATTGTTTGACTTCTTCTTTCCTGATTTGACTGATTGCTCTGACTAGGACTTCCAGCACTATGTTGAATAGAAGTGGTGACAATGGACACCCTTGTTTTTTTCCAGTTCTTACTGGGAATGTTTCCAATTTTTCCCCATTCATGTTGGCTGTGAGTTTGTTATATATGGCTTTTATAATTTTGACATATTTTCCTTTTATGCTTACTTTGTTCCTTCTATGCTTAGCTTCTATGTTTAGTTACTTTTTTATCATGAAAGAGTGCTGAAATTTGGTGAATACTTTTCTTGCATCTATTGAGATTATCATATAGTCTTTGTTTTTGCTTCTGTTTATGTGGTGAATCACATTTATTGATTTATGTATTTTGAACCTTCCTTGCATCCCTGGGATGAGGCACACTTGGTTATGGTGGCTTATTTTTTTGATGTGCTGCTCAGTTCTGTTTGCTAGTATTTTTTTGAGGATTTTTGAATCTATATTCTTAAGGGATATTGGTCTGTAGTTTTCTTTTCTTTTCTTTCTTTTTTCCGTTGTATCCTTTCCTGGCATTGGTCTCATGGTAATATTGGCTTCATAGAATGAGTTGGGGGGATTACCTTCTTTTTGATCTTATGAAATAATTTCTGTAGTATGGGTACTGGCTCTTTTTTGTAGGTCTTGTAGATTTCTGCTGTGAATCCATCTGGTCTGGGGCTATTTTTTTGTCAGGAGATTTTTTATTATTGCTTCAATTTTGCTGCTCATTATTGGTTTGTTCAGGAGTTCTATTTCTTACTGATTCAGCCTTGGGAGATTGTATGTTTCCAGAAATTTGTCTATGTTCTTTATGTTTTCTAGTTTATGTGTGTACTGCTTTTTGTAGTATTCACAAATGATATTTTGTATTTCTGTGGTATCCCTTGTAATATCTCCTTTTTATTTCTTATTGAGCTTATTTGCATCCTTTCTCTTATATTCCTGATTAATCTAGCAAGCGGTCTATCAATTTTGTTTTTCTTTTCAAAACATGAACATTTTGTTTTATTGATCCTTTGTATTGATTTATTGTTTTCCATTTCATTTAGTTCTGCTGTGACCTGTGTTTTTCTTTCCCTCTGCTGGCTTTTGATTCAGTTTGATCTTCCTTTTCTATCTCCTTGAGATGGGAAATTAGTTTGTTAATTTGTGATCTTTCTGTCTTTTTAGTGTGGACATTTAAGCTATAAATTTTCTCTGCAGTACTGCTTTTGTTGAATCCCATAGAGTTTGATAGCTTGTGTCCCCTCTGTCATTCATTTAGAGGATTCTTTTGATTTTTATCTTAATTTCATTATTTACCCAATAATTATTCAGCAGCAAGTCGTTCAATTTCCATGACTTCATGTAGTTTTGGGTGTTTCTCGTGGTATTGATTTCTAGTTTTATTCTACTCTGGTCTGAAAAAATACCTAGTATGATTTTGAATTTTTTGTGTTTGTTGTGATAGGTTTTGTGGACTAAGGTATGGTCAGTTTTAAAGAATGTCCTCTGTGTTGATGAGAAAAATGTATGTTTAGTAGTTTTTGTGTAGAATGTTCTCTAAATGTCTGTTATTTCCATTTGTTCTAGAGTACTATTTAAGTCCAGTGTTTCTTTATTCACTGCTTCAATGGCATGTCCAGTCTTGACAGTGGAGTATTGAAATCCCCAACAATTACAATGCTACTATTTATCTCTCTGCTTAGATCTAGTAGGATTGCCTTTGTAAATATGGGATCTCCTGTGTTAGGTGCATATACAAGGGCTGTCTGAAAAGTATTCAGCTGTTTTTTATATAATTTTTAATATTGCATGGCTAGATACTTTTAGGACAGCCCTCGTATATTTAGGATTGCTATGTCTTCTTGTTTAATTGCTTTCTTATGTAATGACCATCTTTGTCTTTCTTTACCATTGTTGATTTAAAGTCAATTTTATCTGCTATGAGAATGGCTACACCTGCTTTCTTTTGTTTTCTGTTTGTGTGATATATTTTTCCCCATCCCTTCACCTTTAGTCTGTGTGATTCCTCATGAGTTAGATGTGTTTCCTGGAAAAAGCAGATGCTTGGGTTGTGCTTTTGTAATCCATTCAGCCATCCTATACCTTTTAAGGGGAGCATTTACACCATTAATGTTGAGTGACAGAATTGACATGTGGATGCTGTTCTGTTCATCGTGTTGGGTAGTACTTTATTGCCTTGTTTTCCATATTATGCTGTTGTTTTATAAGAGTTGTGAGCTTTAGCTTTTGGATTATTTTATACTTGTGGGTATCTATGTGCTGACCTATGTATAATATAGTACTGTGTATTTTTTGTAGGGCAGGTCTGGTCTTGACAAATTCACTCAGTGTTTGCTTGTCTTGAAAAGATTTTATATAACTGACAATTACGAAATTTAGTTTTACAATTTATAAAAGTCTAGGCTAGCAGGTGTTCTGTTTAAGTATGTAGTCTAAATCCTCCTATGTAGCCTTTTTCTTGCATCCAAGGTTATTTATTATATGTTTATATTTTTCTTGCATCCAAGGTTATTTTCTAACAGCTTATTGTAGATATCTGGATTTGTTATATAAACAATGCAATCTTGGAAAAGATTAGTCCCCCAAATTTTGGGGACTAATGGTTGTTAATATAGGATGTTATTAAAACATGAGGACTTCAATATTTCTCAAGAAGCGACAGCTTAAATTTACCTTAGAAGTATATTAAATATTTATATTTGTGAACCTCTCCCTTTGGTATTCAGTTCTGCACATTTTAAGGCCAGCCATTTTTCTAATATTGAAATGTTTGGAGAATAAGATTTTAGGGAGTTCTTCATCTTTCAGTAATAAAGAAAGAGGTGTACCCCATTGGATTTTAACAGGTGGTTTTTCACTATTAAGAAATTTTTGAAATCATAAAATGTTAATTATAGATTATACGCTTTTAATTAATTAATTAATTTTTAGAGACAGTCTCTCACTCTGTCGCCCAGGTTGGTTTAAAACTCTTGACCTCAAGCAATCCTCCTGCTTTGCCCCACAAAGTGTTGGGATTACAGGTGTGAGCCATTGGGCCAGGCGTAATAATTGTTTTCTGTATGTTAGTGAATACTTATATTTCTACTCATAGCTCATAGGATATCCAAAAGCTATGAAATTAAGTACTAATTTATTGTTTTTAACTGCAGTATGAAGAAGTAAAATAAATACACAGAGTTTTGCAGAATGTAAATTTGAGTAGGCCCAGTTTAATCCCAGGTGCTCTCAGCTAAGCTTGAAATAACAAGACTTAGGGGACAGTCTTAGTGTTGGACTATTGAGAGACTTTGCTTTCATGGTCAAAAACAGTAATACATATTATAAGTTGTTATTGAGGCACAATATCTTTTACCTAGAAAGCATATTCTAAAACAAATTGTTCACTATTCTCAAGTAATAGATGAGAACATAAAAGACAGTGAGATGACCTAACTTCTTCCCAGGCAGGAACTCAACTTTTTCCTACGTGTGATTATCTGAGACCTACTACCCAGAACTTCTACCTCTCTTTCCAGTGATTTCTTAGGTTGCCAAGTATCTTACTTCCCATACATGTACCTTGTTCAATCCTCATTGCTCTCTAGTTGAGAAGAATATGTTTCTGGAAATTATATTTGTATCTTTTCCAACCAAATTTGAGCTCCTTAAAGCAACAACAATGGTCTATTCACTTTTGTCTTAATATTTAACAAAATTCACAGGACAAAAGGTGTGCTTAGAAACTAATACAATTAATGAGAAAATAATGTTCAGCTAGGCTATTTTATATGTCAGTACTATTACTGAATTATATATTATAGTCCTAAGAATCTGTAGACTCACTAGCAGAGCTATGTTTGCATACCATATATGATATCCTGCATGCAAAAGATAAGTGTCCTAAGCAAAGATATAATGAGGAAGAGGATTTAGGAATGTCTTATATCTAAGAAAATCATTGATAAGTGTCACATGTGTAAACAATCAATGCAGAAACTCCTCCCTTGTAAAGTGCAAGGCAGTGTACATTACAAAATTTTGCATTGTCTGACACAGGAAAAGAGAAGAGATAGAGACAGAGACAGAGGGACAGAAAAGGCAATGATGTGGCTGAAGGATGAAGGAAAAAGACCTAAAAAAGACCAGTAGCAACCCTCTATCACTCAAGAGTGAAATCTTAACTGTTTGTCTTTTTCTCATTCCCTTCTGTGAAAATGAAGTTAAGAATACATTACATACAACATAAGCCACAAATACCTGCAGTTGTATTTTTAAGAATATAAAGTTCATGGAATATTTGTAGTTGCATGCTCAGGAACATAAATTTCTCACTTTAGAAACTGCTTCAAGGAATGTCACTATTGCAAACAAAATAAGATTGTAAACATTAGAGAAAAGAGGAAAGGGCCAAGGATATTCTTGATGGAAGGATGAAAGAAAGGCAAACTTAAAATGAAATTGAAGTTTTAGAAAATAATGGGCAACATCTAATTTACCCAGTATGAGATTATAACTCATAGGTATGAGTTTCAGCGCACTCACTCATTAATGATTCAAAAGTCATCCAATTTTAGAAATTCAGAGATTCGGTTGACCTTACTACCACCCTTTCTTCAGTAACCTCTGGATTCCTTGCTTGATCTCCTGGGTTCTCACCCCATAAACAATTGGGTTAAGGGCTGCAGGGATGACATGGTGGAGGACATTGAGCAAGACTGGTACATCAGGGGAGACCTTCTCCTTAGCCACATGTGTAAGGACGAAGACCAGAAGGATGGTGCTAAAGAAGAGGATGAGGATGAAGTGGGAGCCACATGTGCTTAGGGCCTTGGCCACAGCACCTTCTGCCTTGAGTCTCAGCACAGCTCGCAGTATGAAGGTGTAGGAGAGGAAGATGAGGATGAGGTCAGATCCTAGCATAGTCCAACCTGCAGCAAATTGGTAAAGGCGATTGACAGTGACATCATCACAGGAGAGCCTGGAGACGGACATATTGGCACAGATGCAGTTCTCAATGACATTTGTCCTACAGTAATAAAGCCATGCTGAAAGAATGGGAATGGGCATAGTTATAAAGATGTTCCTGGCCAAAATAAAGGTGGCAGCTTTGACTACAAACTGGTCAGTGATGATGGCTGGGTATCTCAGTGGGTGGCAGATGGCTATATAACGATCATAGGCCATGACCATGAATGTGCAGGACTCCATGGCTAGGAAGCAATTCATGATGTACATCTGGAGGAAGCAAGCAGAAAAACTGATGGGTCTGAGGTCAAACCAGAAGATGGCCAGGACCTTGGGGATGACGGTGAGGCAGAGCACAATGTCCAGCAGGGAGAGGAGGCTGAGCAGGTAGTACATGGGCTGGTGCAGAGCGGCCTCCAGCCTGATGGTCAGCAGGAGGGTGGCGTTGGCCCCCATGGCCAGGAGGAAGAGGAGGCTGAGGGGCAGGGACAGCCAGCGCTGCCAAATGGGGGATCTGACAAAACAGTTCAGGAGGAAATTTGAAACCTCAATGGAGATGGTGCCATTTTGGTATGTTCTCATTTTTTGCCATATATTTCTACAACATTCTTTCAGTGTCCTGTAAAATTAGGATCAAAAATTAGCTGCTGACTCTAGACAGTGGAGGATAAAAAAAATTGTTTTCCTAGGTACAAGTTGTGGATCCTAGCAGGTTATCTGGAGCCAAGTGAATTCATGTGTTTATCCTCAGTGCAATGTTACTGAGGTTTTCCTATCACTTTAGATAGTATAGAGGAGTGAGGTAATATGATTCATCTATCCGTGTTTGATTTGTTTAATTTTATTTTCTAGAGAATTGATATGTCTTTGCAGAAACTAAAAAGGAGACACTAATTTGAAAAATACTTTTGTGTAACAGGTGAGACTCAATTTCTATAGCTAAGTTTCTTTTTCATTTTATTTTTGATGATTATGTAGACAACAATATCTACAACTTAACTATTGTACTATTCCCAAATAACTAGCAGAGCCTGGCACAATGGAGAGACTCAGATAAATGTCCCAGGTTCTCATTGTGAACTTTTAACTGTATTGATTTTGCTTAATTAAATATTTTTACTTATACACTGAAAGTAATGTTCATTTCCATTTTATCTAAATATTCATTTTTTTGGTAGGTATTTCTATTTATTAGTTAGGTCTTTATATTTGTAGGATCCCAACTTCTGGAAGAAACAGCTTTAAAAGGAGCATGAGCAATTCCAAATAGCTATGAGGAAGCAACACTTGTCATTGAACTGGATGATAAGTTGGTTCCTTTGATTGCAATAGTGTGGGGATAATGAAGTTCATTCTTAAAGTTTTTAAAATTCTTTTTCCATTTTTCTTTAGCAGCTTGAATATAATGAACCAAGTATACATAGGCCACCATGCAAATAATAGTTTAGTTTTGCCATTATTCTCTTATCATTTAACCATTTCCCCTGGCATTCTTTTAGGTAACAGGGTCATAAAATTGAAAAAGGAAATGTCCTTATGTCAAAGAAATAAAAATATAACCTCTCTGGCAGATGGGTAATAATAAGAAGAAATGATACATGAATAATAACAGGGTTATACACAAATTATTACTAAAGTGTAGGGAAGGGTTGACTAACTATGACATGCAGGATAGGTTGGTGAAAAAGAATCATAAATTAAGTGATATGGTATCCTCATTTACATGAAAAATAAAGGATTCTAAGATTCCCCTTCCTGTGACTTATGAAATAAAACCCAAAGAATGATACAGCTTTGGTAAAAGGTATAGGTCATGTCTTTCTGGGGTCCTTCAAATCATGCAGTCTATTGTACAGAAATCTGTTTACCAGAAGAGAAGTCTCTGTTAAGGTGTTGCTTTGTTGGTTTAGAAAATCTTTTTCATCAAATGTTTAAGAACTGCCCTGTTTCTTCCTTATTAGATTCCCCAAAATAATATAAAATTATCTAGTTATGTTTGAAATCCTTATTTGCTAGAAACCTCACTCAAATATTCTAAGACTTTATTTCATGTTATTCAACTGTGAAATGTATATGATTATCACCACTAACAAATGAGGGAACTGATATCTCAAAATCCAGAATGTCAGCGACTCATACTGTACTATCCTAATGCTATTCCCGCAAATACAGGTTGGATTGGATTAATTTCTAGAGCTTTTCAGATCTAATAAATAATTCCATCATACGCCCCATTTATCATGTAAAAAGAAAAACACTCTTTACCCATAACACTATAGTTTTTAAAATAGAATCTGTTAGAGGAGAAAGACTTTTGGGGTGATGGGAAGGTGGCAAGAAAGGAAGTTATAATAAAGCTGAACACAGAACTGTACGGCATTTTCATACTGGCAGGAACATACACTTCTGAAGATGTTCAAATAGTAATTTTAGTTTTAGTTATGTATTTCCTGTTCCCCAAATGCATTTCCTGTCCTTGCTCAGCTGGCTCCTTTCAGACTCTCCTCACCAGAAAGACCCTGATGGCAACTGTGGCTGTGTCAGTGGAGAGATGAAGACATTCATTCCCTCCCAGGGCTTCTCTCTTCACTCCTCCAGGTCCTCTCATTCCACATCCAGTCTACCAGGCATGGCTCTCTCACCTGATATGCAGAACAAACTGAAATAATCTCCTAATTGTTTTTCTCTTGGTGATAACTGTGTCTATTAGTAATCATTTTCACAAGTTCAAAATGAAATTTAAATAAATTGTTTCATTTTTGACTCAAAATACTCTAAAGTCAGTAGGATAAATCGACTATTTTAACAGTTTATCTTTCACATAGGCAAATTAAAATTCAGTGGTTCATATCTTTATAATAGTTTAACTTGTAGGGTTCAAACATGAAAGAAATAAAAGATAAAATGATTTCTTCAGGTCCAAGGCATAGAAAAGGTGAGTACCCTTGTTCTCTGTGTTGCCATAGTGATCTAGAAATGTATATACTACTTCAAATTTTTTTTTAATAAGCTTTTAAAAGGCTTTTCTTTCTCACCCTTGCTCCCCACACATACACAATGTTAAGCACAGTTTTCCAGCACTCTGGAATCTCTTTTCCTTCCTTTTAGAACTCTGACTACTGCTTCCCACTGCTCATAAGGTCTGATTTCCTGTTTAGTTCACTTTTGTATTGTATCTCTTATTGTTTTCCTAGGTTTCAGTCCTAAGGCACAACCCCTTAAGGATTTGATAAAGATTACAGAATCATTTCCATAAGCCATGTGCTCTGATTTACTTTCCTCTTTCATAACTCCATACCTGCCACCTATCGATCTCAGTTTCTCTTGTCTAGTAGTTCTGCACTTTGCCTTGATGGAGTGGTCCATTGACAGTGAGAACACTGGAATTGGAGGATGCACTTAACGATAGTAACCCATAGAACATGATTGCCAGACTTGAGGTGGTGACTGGACAGTCTTCTCTATGGCCTGGGCACTATGTTCATTCAACTCTGCCTTTCCTCTTCTCCTTCTCTTTGAATACATTAACTTGTTAGTTTGGGACACAAACTAAGAGGATTTGCTAAGCCCAGAATTTGTCACAACTGATTCAACCCTATTAATTTGTATTTGCTTGTATCTATAGTATGTACAACTTCAGGCTGTTAAATTCCTAATATCCCCTTTAAATACTACCTTTCTCATTCATTGTTTTTCATTTATTTTTTGCTTATTACATCCTTTGATCCTACTCTATGTGAAATTTTACATTAAAAATCACAGCCCCAAATATCACCATCTCTAATAAAGGATCACAAAGTACTCATAGAAAGAATTAAGCGAAGGAGGGAGAATCTCAAAATGACATTTGGAGGGTAGAGCCAAATGCAAGATCTGGAGATTCAGGCATGAGGATCCATGGAGAGAAGCCTAGAGCAAAAAAGTACAATTTTGATTACTGAACAGCTTTGGGATAATTATAATATGTTTTGCACTAGGATGAAATTTCTCAGGATTATGTAGGAGGAATTTTATCTCTTCCATTCACTAATTTTCCTTCTCTTTTTTTATGGGATGTTCCTGCCTGTTCTTCATCACATTTTTTTCAATAAGCATTCAGTAGAACAACCTATTAAGACCTAGAAGTAAAGCATGTGAGAACACACTTGCTCTTTATCTCCTCTCCTCTTTCAATCTTGGCTTGCAATCAGACTGTGCCAATGGCAGCACTAGAGCCAAGGATCCAGAGACCTAATGTTTCTAGTTCCAGCCAGGAACAGGATGAGGGAGCCAGAGAGAAGTTCAATGTCAAAGGCTACCACTGAGATCTACATATTAAGCCTTTTCCCAGTCCGGAGGACAGGCCCACAGTATTGTACTGAAGAAGCCCTGTTTTAAAAAGTGGAAGGGTTGTTAGGTATCACCTAAATTCCTAAGTCTGAGCCATGCCACCGAGGCATCTCTCCCAGGTGTAATTTTTGACATTACTGAATGCATCCAGTAATAGGAAGCTCTATATTACGCTTCTGGGCATAGTTTTCTGTTTTTGGCAGAAGTAGCTTTTAGCAATTGTTTTAGACTGAACAGAAGTATTTTAGACTACTTCCTGACTCCCACTGGCCCCCAGCTGTGGTCTTTGTGCCAAACCTCTGAAGTTATATAAATTAAATTTAATTTTTATCCTCTAATTAAAGCATTTGTTGGCAGATTCTTTATTTTAAAGTCTCTATATTTCCATATTCATAGTTGGAAACTCCAAATGTTCTTAACTGGTCTCCAGCTCATGCCCTTTTCAGCTCTGTTACCACCCAGTAATCTCCTATGGCCAAGCTCCCACCTTCTCTGCATTTCTGGCACCACCAAGTAGCCAGAGCAGGGCAAAAGGGAGACGATCCCAGAGTACAGGCTCTCACGTACGCCTCCTGAGCTGAGACAGAATGCAATCTCTACTACCCGCTTTCAGACTACTTCAGCAGTCCTGACCCAGGAATGGAAAGGAACACAGTTCAGTCCTCTGGCTAATCTGAGAATAGCCACCCCTCAGCACCCTCCACCCAGACTCACCTACAGAGAATGTGAAGCATGAAGTCTGGTTCTACTGATACTGTAGCTTTCCAGAGTGTCTGGGGTAGTTATAAATTCAGAGCATCAGGAAATCTGCCCCCTGAGAATGTCTTAATCCATCCTGCCTTGGGACCAAAAGGCCCTCTTGGTTTAAATAGGCAGGCAAATGGTAGAAGAAATTTTTTCTTCTTTTTCTGAAAGAAAGAACCCTTGGCAAATCAGCCCTATGTTCACTGTATGTCCTGTAGGTAGTAAGTCAGTCTCCTGGGTGCAGGACTCTTTTATGCATATTCATATATGCTCATATTTATTTGCCTGTACACACTCAGTACCTCCCATGGACCCAATAAACTCACTCAGAAATTCTTCTGGGCTTCCAGGACATGCTTGTTAGATATGTACATCCTAAACCACGCTGGTGAATGGATCAGTGCTAACTTATCATGACTTTACTATGGCATATAAAGATAAACATGCAAGAAAAAACTGAACAGAATCTTACTAAGAAAATATAATGTGTTTTTCAGAGAGGAAACTCCTATGATAATTTTTGCTGTAGTGAGAAATATAAATAATTTTTTGTGGATAAACTTATAATTAATGAATTTCATATATCATTTTATATGTTATATCCACTAGTTTGTGAATCAAATCTCTTGCATATAAAAGAAATATTCTGTTTCACAATTATAATTTAGTGTTAACCACTTGCATATTTCATATCACTGGGCTCATCTTCATATGATACTTTGAAACAGAGGCTATTGCCAATGAAATTGAAAAGTTGTTTATTTGTATTTCAAGAACAAATGAAAATGTTCTTCTTTTAGACATTGCCTTCTCTTTGGCTCCTAAGACCCCTCGGTATGGTGCTGGTTACCATGGACACAGGAAGAGTGTATGAATAATAGCAGTGTTGCTACAATTCTCTTGTAGTGGAAAATGTAGAATTAGCTATGAATGGCACATTTGACAATGAAGAGCATGAAGAAATGCTACCTGTATGAACAGGAAGAGATGGTACCTTGAGAGTGCAAAGAGCACAGCACTATGTGTACTGATTGGACAATTTATACATATAGAAGAATTTTTTCTCTACTTATTATCTAAATTTTCATTGATAAGCCTATACATTGATAAGCCCATAATTTTTTGCAATGGACTTAAACCATTAAATTATTTATGTAGACAAGGACTTCTCATGGCCTTGGGTGCAGTTAACCAGACCCTCTTAATTGATCATGGTCCATTGTGAGGTGCTTTCTTCTGTGACCTTCTTGTTTTTGCTTCTGTTCCTCTGACCACTACTTTGTTTTCTCTCCATGCTAAACTCCCTACACCCACCAGAAGTTAAAGATAATGTGGGGCTCTTCAAGGCTTTTTGGTGGGTTTTCTTCTTGCTCTATATTCCTTCCCTAGGCCATCTAATATGCTTCCATTGCTACAGTTACAATCTGTAGTGAATGCTAAACTTCACATGTCTTACTTGAGAGCCAAACCTATAGGCCTGAGTGCTTACTATAACTCTCCACTTGTATGTCGCATGGGCACTCAGATGCAAAGTATCTAAAAGCATACTTCTGATCTTATTCCTAAGCCCTCATCATCTCCTATGGCATGATCAGTACAGTTGCTCAGACCATGCCATCGATCATGACTGAGATATGCCCCCTCTTTTACTCTTGATATCTAATGTAAAAATCCAGATGACAAGGACTATGTCTCAATTTTATTCCTAGCAACTAGCATATACATTCAATCATTTATTAAATCTTCATTAAAACATTTATTTAACAAATGTTTGTGAGTCTCTACCATATGTCAAGCATGGTTCTGGGTGCTAGAGGTAGAGTAATGAACATAATAGACAAAAATCCCTGCCTCAAACTGCTTAAGTTTTAGTCGGGAGACACTGACTAAACAAGTGAACAACATTCGTGGTCATTGGATTGTAATAAACCCTACAAGGAACAGTGAAACACAGAAGGCGTCAGAATTTTTTTTGTGTTTTGGGGGAATATTGTCGGATACTATTTAAATACTGTGGTCAGGGAGACACAATGGACCAGAGGGAAAGAGTTACATGGACAGAGGGAACAAAACAAAACACCCAGAAGCAGGAATTTGGTTTCTGTTTTTGAGAGATTGACAGGGAGTCAGTTTAGGTAGAGTGGACTAAAGGAGGAGGCCAGATAGGAAGATGAGGGTCAGATTGTGTGAGGCCTTGTAATCCATTGTCAAGATTTTGCTTTCTATTCTCAGTGAGTTGTGAAGCTCTGCAGAGGTTTTGTGCATGCATGGCAGTGACATGACTGGCCTGCCATATTTAAAATGATCACTCTCGCTACTGTATTTGAGCTATAGGGAAATATGGACAGAAGCAAGGAGTCCCCGTCCACACCAGCAGGAGGCCATCACAATTATCCAGAATGGAGATGAGGTAGCCTGGGCTTGTGTATAGCAGATGGGAAAAAAATGGTTGGAATTTAGGGCTGGCAGGATATGCTGATTGTTTTTTAATTGCTATAGAGAGTGGGTGGCAAAGATACCTACAAGGTTTTTGGCTTAAAAAACTGGCAGTATGGAGTTGACATTACTGAGATAGGGAAGCCACACTATATTCTGTAAATGAACAAAGGATTTTTACACTTCTGTGCTTTGGTCCAGCTTCTTGTTGTATTCTTCCCTTATTATACTGCCCATTCTTCATCCCATTATCTATGTGGAATCTTCTTGTTCCTCCTAGAGAAACAAATTTCTCTGTTTTCTGGGCTTACAAAGTTCTCTATTTGTGTGTTTTAATTAACTCTTTTTAACCCTTATTACATTGCAGTTATAGTTGATTTTACAGTTTTCTGCCTTATCCTCTAGAATGTGCGCTCTTTGAGTAATAGGACCAAGATTTATTCATGTTATACTTCCATTTCCTAGTACTATCATGGGCACAAAATAACCATCAATAAATTATTCTGAATGCTTGAAGGAAAATGTTAAAATATAATGGTTAAATATTTTTAACAGTTGGTTTTCTAATGTTACATATTATTCCAAAGACCATGCACTGTCTTCTAAAGCCTATGCTATGCACTGTCTACATCAGCCACTTGTCTTGAAATAAATATTGATTTTCCATCTCCACTGGTTTTACTCAGGATTGAATTAGTAGTAAACAATTAGGTTTGATGCTTAACTCATCAAAATTTACAGCCTCTTGTCTGGGTAGCATGGTGAGAAATTATACATCTACATCCTCAGCCTCTTCTAGGAAACCATGGAATTGCAAAGTAGGATGTGCCTCTAGGTAAGAAGGAAAGCATATAGTCTATATCATCAGGCATGTTCTGAGAGAAGATTAGGACAGTATTTCTGCCTCTCTATCACTGGCTTTCAATTGTGATTCTGAGTATTTTTGATTCAGAAAAACAAAGTAAGAACACAATAACATTCTCCTGTTATCTATCCCTCCTCAGTAATTTCCAAATCCCTTGTTTAATCTCCTGGGTTCGTACTCCATAGACAATGGGGTTCAGAGCTGCAGGAATTACATGGTGTAGGACATTAAGTAAGATAGGGATATCAGGGGAAACCTTTTTCTTGGCCATATGGGTAAAAACAAACACCAGCAAGATGGTGCTAAAGAAGAGGATGAGAATGAAGTGAGAGCCACAGGTGCTCAGAGCTTTGCCAGCTGCCCCTTTTACCTTGAGTCTAAGAACAGCATGGAGGATGAAAATATAGGAGAGAAAGATGAGGATGAGGTCAGATCCTATAAGAGTCCAGGCCACAATTAACTGGTAGATTCGGTTAAGGGCAACATTATCACAGGAGAGCTTGGAAACAGAGAGGTTGGCACAGATACAGTTCTCAATTACATTTTTTCCACAATAGTGGAGATGAGCAGAGAGGATAGGGATAGGTGCAGTGAAAAAAGTGTTCCGGACCAAGATGAAGGCAATAGACTTTGCCACAAATCGGTCCGTAATGACGGATGGGTAACGCAAAGGTTTGCAGATGGCAACATAGCGGTCATAGGCCATAGCCAGGAAGGTGCATGATTCCATAGGCAGGAAGTTATTCATAATGAACATTTGGAGGAAGCAGGCAGAAAAACTGATGGGTCTGAGGTCAAACCAGAAGATGGCCAGGACCTTGGGGATGACGGTGAGACAGAGCACAATGTCCAGCAGGGAGAGGAGGCTGAGCAGGTAGTACATGGGCTGGTGCAGAGTGGCCTCCAGCCGGATGGTGATCAGGAGGGTGGCATTGGCCCCCATGGCCAGGAGGAAGAGGAGGCTGAGGGGCAGGGACAGCCAGCGCTGCCAGGTGGGAGACCTGGTAAAACAGTTGAGGAGGAATTCAGAGACTTCAATAGGAAGGGAGCTGTTGCTATAAAGCAGCATTGGCAGTGACTTTAGTGAGGTAGCTGTCTTTAGGTAGCTGAAGAAGAGAGAAAGAGTTAATTCTACCATAGTCTCTGTTGTCTATGTACTTAAACTATAAGATTCATGCGGTTTCAGACACAACTCACCTCATTCATCCCATAGCCCTTGTGCCTAACACATTTTTGACACAAAAGATGTGGCCATAAAATATGTAAAATGATGTTTCACCATCTTTTTTCTATCATCTGTGTTTCACCTGACATAGTCTCTTGGATGAATTTATCTTTTCAATCTCTTTGGTTGATTAATATTTAATGAATCACAATTACATAAACATCAAACATTACTTAAATGAAACAGTAAAAATAGAAAAAGCTGAGAAAACATGTCAGTTTAATGTATAGAAATATATTCTAAATGCTAAACACTATCAAATTTTAAGAAAGTAAAATCTAAGAGTATCCAGAAGCATGATGGACTGGGTACAAAGAACAAACCTCCCGACCAAAATAAATAAATATGGTACCTATATGTATTTCTATATCTCTTTTTTATTTCTAAAATTTTAATTTGAAGTACTTTCTACTTGTTGAAAATTGTATACAGAAACAGTAAAAAGAATTTTCACATACACTTAATCAAGATTCATCTTTTGTGAACACTTTATTACAGTTGGCTTTGTCATTCTTATTTCTCTCTACACACACACACACACAATCTTATCTATACTCATACCCACATCCACACCTACACACATGCATATATTTATGCCCATACCTGTATCTATACCTCTACCTCTACCTCTAACTGTACCTATACCTATAGTTATACTTGAATGCTTTGAATACAATCATGAGCAGGCAAATAAAAAATAATTCTCAAGCCAGGGATTGAGGGAAATCCAGAACCTAAAATCAATTATTGAGGTTGTCTTCCAACTGAAGGGCATTTGTGGCATTAAATGAATTTAAGCATACTGTACAATAGATTTCTTGAACTTATTTCACCTAGCTAGCTGAAATTTTTTATCCTTTGACCAACATCTCCTATCCCCTTATTCCAAATATCTGAGGTCCTAGTAACCACCATTCTATTCCCTACTTTTATATGTTAATTAACTAGATTTAGTCTTTCTACAAAGTATATATACTTCAAAACAGCATATTGTACATGGTAAATACATAAAATTTTGTCTGTCAATTAAAAAAGTCCTGGCTTCAGCAGATGGGGAATCTATTAAATCCTACATAGACAGAACCACATAGTCCTACATAGATAGGATTCTATGGCACCACACCTAGAGTGATGGCATGCCCTAGAAATAAACCTGCTCTTTCACCTCCACCCTCATGCCCACCTGGAACTTTACGAAAAACTGGCTATCTTCAAGGTTGTTATAATAGAGACAGTGTCCTTGTAAATTTTGAACCATGGGCTGGTCCTCATGTAACTTTGTAGCCTGATTTCATACCAGTGGCTCAAAAGGAACTTAAAGTTATCTTGGATTTTCCGTGGTACCAGAAAATGACAGAATCAAGTCCAAATCTGTTCTTGAGGAACCAACTTTTATCTTAGGATCAAAAAATTTCAATATATAACCTTCTGAAGAAATGAATCTATTTGTAGTAAAAAAAATTAATTAAAAATAATTAATTGAAAAAGTAAAAAAAAAAAAAATAATGATGAGTAAAGTCCCCAAAAGTACAAAGTAATGCACAAAAAACTGGTGATATTTGATAAAAAATGTTGAACAAATTTCCTGACTGGATTTTAAAAAATGAAAGACAAGTTTGAAAACATAAGAAAATGATAAGCATACTTAAAGGAGACTGTCATATCTCTTAGAAATCAAAAATCATAATAAGTAACATTAAAATTTTATGAGATATGTTTAATAGTAATTAAGCAACAATGGATGAGATAATTAGTAAACTAGAAGACTGAACTAGAGAATTTTTAGAATTAAGTTTCATTGAACACATAGAAAATGCAAAAGTGTGAACAAAGACATGGAATTCTGATTTGACTTAGTCACTCTATCTTTTTTGTTTTACTGGGATTCAGAAGATAAAGTCTATAAATCAATGTTTTCCTCAGGGCACTGGAAGTTATCAAAAGTAACAAAGCATATCTAAAAGAAAACCAGATGTATTTAAAAAATACATTAGGAATAATAACTTAAAATGTGAATGTAACAATAGATTAGAGACGGCTAAAGAGGGTCAGTCAGAAGGAAGGTCAGAAGAATCTGCCAGAGTGAAGATTGAGATAAAATAAAAGCAGATACTGAAGAAAGTGTAAGAGAAATAGAGGATAGAGTAAGAATGTCTACCTTTCATAAGAGCTCCAGAATGAGGAAGAAAGAGAATGAGGCAGGGGCTTTTGACCTTTTTTTTTTTCTTCTTATTTTGGCATATTATGGTGGTACAAATTTTAAAGTTTCAATAAATGCCCTTCCCCCACCCCCCACAAGTCTGAGTTTCCAGCATGACCATCCCCCAGATGGTACACATCTCACTCATTATGTTGACCTTCTTATAAGAGATGAAACACTGCAGTCATCAGATTTAAGAATTCTATTAAATATCATGTAGGATAGGTAAAAAAAAAAGCATACCTAAATATATCTAGATTATTCTAAACATACATCTAACTGTCATGTCATGGTCTAACTTCAGACACTAAAGACAGAGGGAATATTTTAATGATCAATATGACTAATACAATCAGAAGAATAAGTATGTGCCAGGCCACTGGTACTAGAATTCAAAGTTAGGAGTTGCACATTAGCTACAGAATTCTTAGTCTCTTTTTTGAAGAATAACTTTACTCTCAAAGCACTCATGCTTCTCCGCCTAACCCCCTGAATTCATATCATTCTTCCTTCTTTTTCCCAATTGTTAGCTTTCTTTGCTCAGGTTAATAAGATTTCTCTGCCCATTTTATAGTTTCAAGTAGTCTACAGACAGTCTTCTAGGGCCAACACTTGAGATCTCTAAGGGGCTGTTGCACACAGGGATCCTATCCAGTGATTTGAAGACTGTTGTTCTTGGTGTCTGGAGGAGCCATGTCTGTGCAGAAAGAAGCTTTTCTCCATAATCTTTTGGGGTATCAAATTGAGTATATGGGGTTCTCATTAATCTTGAAAAATTACTGGGTGTGACACAAAGCTTGTTTAGTAGGGTCTGGAACTGAGAGAGGGGTAAGGAGTGATAAATAATGACAAAGTGAAGAGAGAGAGTCATTGAATAGAAAATGGTGCTATAAGTTTGTTTCCTCTCGGGATCTTATTGGTCTAGAGGAAGCTGTGGATAGTAGGGGTAAATCTAGGCTAAATAAGTGGAAAAGAGACAGAGAGAGAGAGAGTAGAAGGAATGGGGAGATCCAAAGCATATGTATCCAGAAAATAGATGGTGTAGAAAATACAGAAAAAGAGAAAATTAAAATTAGAACAAAAGAGATTGCCCTGAGAATAGAGAGGACAAAGAAAGCAAAAAGGAGTAAAGAGCAGTCAAGGAGCAGGTACTTTTAAAAAATTGAAAAGTGAGAGCAAAGGCAAACTAGTGAAGATTTCTAATTAATGATGATCAAGACAGAGTGATTGGGGACGTTTTTTCCCTTCCAAATCTACATTCTGTTTCACACCATAAGGGTTCAATGAACGCTGCTCAAGATATTTCCCACCTGATACACTACTTCAGACCTCTGAATTCCCTGTCCAAACCCCTTCCTAGGGAGCACAAGAGTCTGGGCTCAGCCTTGGAACAATCATCTGCATCTGGGGTTCCATACCAATTCCCTGCTTAAATGCTTTCTGCCACTTCCCTTTAAGCCCCATCCTCATACTTCAATCCTACAGCCTTTTCAGTTGCAAGCCAGCTCCAGTCTCACCACAATTCCTGCTCTAGCCAGGTGTCTAATATCACAGTGGTGTCTTGGAGCATTCATTTTCCCATGGGGCCAAACTTACTAGATGGAATCAGGGACCTCTCCCGGGGAGGAATATTCCTGGTGCTGTGTGTCTGAATCTTCTACTCCTGGGCTCTCAGAAAGGAGAGTTTATGTCTAACTTCAGCCACCTAGGCTTCCCCAAGGAAAGACAGCCTTGCTGTCCCTGAAGGGGCTGGAGAATCCAGAGTCCAGCATTCTCTTATTCCCAAAGGAGAGAGCTTTTCTCCCAGCTCTTCATGCCCTGTGACTCCCTGAATGAGGTTGCTATTTCCCCTAAAGGCAAAGGGAGAGGCTCAGAGTTGATCACCTAGCACCAGTTGAATGGGTAGAATGTGATACTTAGGACATACTTAGTATCATTCATTATACGAAAGTAAAACCTTTGGGCAAGGAGGTTAAGAGGAAATGCTCTAGGGTACCAGGTTCTGATTTCCAGAAATGTATTGATTAAAAGGTACACATAGTTTACATAAAACCAATCATGTGTACTCCTACACTGATAGATTGTAGTAATTATAATCTGCTCAGAGAAGCTCCCTAGTTCTACTTGAGTGAAATGTTTCAGGAAGCCCTCTTCTTGTGACATTATTAATACAAAAATCCAAGAAGATTTAATAAGCTTCATCATTTACTCCCTCATTCGCTTCATAGTCAATTTTGTACATGGCATAGAGGTAACTTTTAGTAAGACAATCCAAAATCCATAGAGATATTTTAATTTGGTTTGTTAATGAAGATAAACTTAGTTTAATAATTAATGTTTAAGCTATCTAAGCCTCCCTTTTATCTTGTAAGATTGATTCATATTGGGGTGGTTGGAAGATGGAGCAATTTTCATATCACTGACATTTATTAATGTAGCCTCATGACATCAAATGAACACTTGGTTCCTTAGAATCTTTTTGTGATTCATAATTTTCTTAATTTCATAATTGTTTTAATAAAAATGCAGTTACACATTTTCTGTGGCCTAATCAACATTTATCATTGATACTTATGAAAAATAGTTCTGTTGAGTGTCTTCTGAGAGTTTATTTTTAGCATGAGAACTGCTATATTGGCTTTGCCATACTTCATAGAAGGCTGTAATGTTGGAAGCTGACTCCCA